TGTCCCTTCACACCAGCTGTGTGGAGTCTACGTTATACCTGTTGGCCTGGCCTTTTACAGTATAAACTGTCATATGGTGTGTGACAAAACTTTTCCTGGGGAGACACAACACCCACATCTACTCAGGGAGCCCAGAACAGACCTAACTACGGACACCACCAAAGTTTAGCTTGGCAAACCATGAGTTTTGTTGGGGTTACTTATGGGTGAGAAGTTACTTATAGGAGCAGAAATAACTCAAAGACAGCTGCATCACCAAAGCCCACCCCAGCATGTGTGGCACACAGCTCACTAAGTTGGGAACCTGGAGCACACTGCACAGCCTTTAGGCAGCTCAGCAGGTTGGAGAGTGTCCTTCCCAGGTGCCTCAGTTGGTTTAAACCTCTGCTGGGTCTGGTCTGAGTCTTCTTTGCAACTTGGCTTTGGGTGGGACCTAGTGAATCTGGTCAGTTTCAGGGACTTCCTGAAGCACTTTTGAGTTGTTTACCTTCCTGTTCAAGAAGCTTCCTGCAGGACCGAATGTTTTAATCTCAAGGAATTTGTTACTAAACATATGATCACGCTATTCAAGAGATACCCTGTACCAGGTGGAAAAGTGAACTTTGATTCACTGACCAATTTCATCGCTTTGCCCTTTGTCTGCCCTGTCCCCTCTAAAATATTTTTAGAAAAGAATATTTAACAAATGTTTTAGTTTTTAAAATCACATTAACTGGGTCTGGAGAGATGGCTTGGCAGCGAAGGGCACTTGTTGCTCTTGAGGATAATCTCAATGCATTCCCGGGGCTAAAGAGTGCTTTCAAAGGACTGATCCTGCAGAAGACTCCCTGGTGGCTACAAGTGGTGACTAGGTCCAGGTGGGTAATGGCACCAGTCAGCTGGGCACAGGAAGTGATTGATGGGCTTTGTTCCTTTGCAGTGTGATTTCACAAGTTTATGATCCCAGATGCTTGAGGCAAAAGGTTTGAAAGTTCAAGGGCTGGCTGTGCTAGACAGGAAGTTCAAGGCCAGTCCAAGCAACTTACTGAGCCTTATCTGAAGACCAAAAGTGAAAGACAGGCTGGGGATGTATCTCAGTGCTAGAGCACTTGTTTGGCATGTGCCAGGTCCTGGGTATAAAAAAATAAAAGGAAAAAGCTGGGGGCTGGTGTCTGCACTTGACACTGCGGCTCAAGGCTGTGATGCCCATTGCATTGAGGGAGGTTAAGGCAGGAAAGTGAGCTAACTTAGACCACACACACACACACACACACACACACACACACACACTCCCTTGTCTCAAAGAAACAAAACAAAAACAAATAAAGTGTCATCTGCTGCCATTTCCTTTGGGGCTCAAGGCCAAATGTCAAATGCATCAGATGTAAGGGTTTGTGTATACACACGTGGAAGTTTCTTGAGGGCACAGAGTCCATGCATGGAGCCTTTTAAGGACCAGCTTAGGGGCCAAGGTCCACTTCTTGGAGGGCACTCAGCTACGACCCGCCTGCACCTGCAGAGGGCGCCGCAGGCACACTGAGGTGAAGAGAGCCTCAGGCTGGGTGCGAGGTCATGGCCAGCACAGCTTCTGGGAAGGCTTGTCTTCCTAAGGGAACTCCTGAGCTGCAGCAGGAAGGGATGAACGTTGACGGGGAAAGAAAGAGAAGATGAAAAAACGAGTTCAGCCACTGGCCCAGTCGTTCAGGTGCCTGAGCCTGTTTCCCATCTGTAGTGTGGGCTGGGATGGGGATGGATTTGGAAAGTGCTCTTACAAGGATTCGGAGACAACTTAGATCCCAAGTGTCACCTTCCTTTCTGCTCCCCCTAGTCTAAGCAAAGCCCCCCCGCCGCTCGCTAGCCTCCAGCTTGGAGTAGCCGATGTGGGTAACGCAGCAGAGATGGATACGGACTCCACGAAGCAGTGGCACAAGGGGACACCTAGGACACCGGGCCAGGACCCCATGGACCTGGTTCTTCTCCCCATCCC